GGACCTGGAACCACAGCCTCTTTCCCAGGGCGGTTGAGGGCGCCCTCTGGGCTGATCAAAGCGGGAATCTCCAGGAGGAATGTTCAAATCTCGCTTGAGATGCATGACTTTAAATTTAAAACCAGTGTTAAAGATGCGTTTCTAATTGGGGGCTGGTTTTTCTTCTTTGCTGCCATTATAGTCTAGGTAAGAGAGATTCGTGATAGGCCCAGAATGGTCCCTTGTATTTTGCTTTGTAAGTCACGGTTACAAATCCTCTACAGGTTCAACACCGCCAGGTGGTTCGGTAGGTTAATGTAACTGGAGAGTAAAAGTACATTGTTATAACCCAAAGCCTTCTACCACATTTTCATAATATGCAGTTTTCGGATTGTTGAGATTGTCTGTAAAAACACGTAGCTTTGGGACCAATAGATGGGATAATGGTTAGGTCGCTGGACTCCCACCTAGTTCACTGCAGTTGGAGTCCTAGAACTTGTGACTTAAACTCAGCCCAGGTGCTTGTGCGTGTGTGCCTAAAATCCAGAGAGAATGGAGAAGGTTGACCATCCCCCCTAGGGGGCAATTTCTCCCTTTCTCTCCAGCGAGCGCCTGCACCCTATAGCAGAAATCTCTCTCTTAAAAACAACAAAACCCACATTGCTTTAACAAACCATGAAGCATTGCATCTTGTGAATGTGGAGTTTAAAAAAATACAGAATCTGGATTTTTAAAATCTGACCATATCCGTATAACCATATGTTTGGGCATCAGCTATTTCCTTTTTGTAAATTAAAATGAAAATGGTTCTTTGTTTTTTTTTGGGGGGGGGGACAGGGAGATTTTTGCTATAGAGTGCTTGTTCCTGTTGGAGAGACAGAAAGCAAGAAATCACCCCCTGGGGGAATGGCCATGCTGCAAACCCTTCTCCATTCTCCTCCATTGTCCTCCTGGGATTTTGGGCATACACCCACTTACATTTAAACTGCTGGTGGGAGACTAGAATTGCAGTGTAACCATTAGGCCATTTTCTGGTCCCCCTTAAAATGGTTATTAAGCATGGGAGGATAAGCAAGTAGTCTTGGCTGTTGAAGAATCTGCTTAAAGCTGTGGAATCTCTTCCCGGAGAAGTGCAGGTAGAAATGTAGACGAAGCTTCCTCAGGGTTTTTAATCTTCCTGACGCTTGTCTCCAGGGCCCTCGCTCCCAGGTTTCTGGCTCCAAGTTGAGAATTCCTGATTACGTTTTATAGTTTCGGATCCAGAGTCTTAGATTAGGTATTGTCGCTGAGTTTATAAAACAGAGACAAAGCGGTTGTAGTAATAAGACACACTAGAACTACGTCTTCTGGCTCCCAGTCCAGTGCTCCTTGTCCACGTCCAGGGTTACAATGCCAGGGGGCCGGCATCGCTAAGTGAATGCTGCTGGCAATCCTGGTATAGATGGAAAAATATACCGACCTGACCTCGGTGATTAAAGCAAACTAAATTGGTGTGAATTCTGGTGATTGACTCCTCCCTGCTGTGCTTAATTACTTAATGGTTTTTGTCTTTGTAACAGTTCTTAAGTACTATGGTTCTCTGCTATAAACACTGTAACTGTTTCTTTTTTCTTAAAGTAAACATTCTAACTTTTTGCCCAAGGAAATGAAAATCACCTGAGGAGAGCCTGTCAGGGAAGCCACATTGGGTAGTCTTGTGCTTCCCCTGAGAGAAAATAGAAAACTTGATCAGGTTAGAGAGCCAGGCCGGCAAGAGTAACAGGAAAAGGTCTCTGAGGACCAGGAGTATGCACTGAGCTTTTGAAAGCCTTCATGTCATGGAGAATGCAAATGTATCGAGCAAATAGTGTAGCGACCCAGTCACCCAGCTCCAGTCACTGTCCAGGTGGCTGCTTTGGCCTCATCCCCACTCACATTACTTTCCTGTTACCATTTTTATTTTTTTTTTCATGAAAAAGTGAGTCCTCTCACTTAATTACTTGTTTATTTCATGCTGCATTATTCATCATTCTTTTAGTTTCCCAATCTTCTCATAGTTCTTCTCTTCTGACCTCTCTGTATATTCCTTACTTTTTAAAAGACAGCTTTAGGGCCAGCCCTGCAGTGCAGCAGTTGAGTGCTATGAACAGGGAGCCAGATCCCACACAGCTGATGGCAGTTTGAATCCTGACTCTGGAGGCTAGAAAAACATGCTGAGCCTGTGTGGATGCGTGCCCCAAATACTGACAGGATGGAAAAAGGCAAAGGATTGTGGTGTGACCATGCCCCATGCCCCATTCCCCATTGGGGGTTACTTTCTCCCTGCCATACACACACACACACACACACACACACACGTCCTCTGGCAGTAAAGCAAAGTAATACAAGCAACTTTCCTGGGGCCGGTTGATGGTGCAACAGTAAAACAGTGGTCTACAAGGCAGTCCCACATGGGAAGGTTCCTGATTCAAGTCAGGTGTGACGTCCCTGAGCATGCCAGGCTCATGCTTGCCCAAGAACCGGGGCTTACTGAAGTTGGGAGTGCATCCTTGCAAAACTGTCGAGGTTATGTCTGTCTTCCACACATAAGGAAGAAGTAAATAAGCTTAGCAAACGCAATGATTTTATTCAGGTTTAATTTACATTCCTTGAAACTGCCCCAGTGTAAGTTGCAGCTCAGTCACTGTTAGTGCATTTACGGAGGTGTGCACATCACCAGTCTAACCACAGGACAGTCTGACACCCCAGAAGAGCCTCTGTGCTGGTTTACAGTTAACTCCCAGCCTTGCCTCGGGCCCCAGGCAGCCACTAATCTACTGTCTATAGATTTGCCCTTTCCGCATATTTCGTACCCTAAGTGGAATCACACAGCAGGGGGTCTTTTTGGCTGTCTTACTCCTGCTGTACTGTGTATCAGTACAGTGTTCTTTTTTATTGTCGGCTGCTTTTCCTCTGTGTGGCTATAACACTTTTTGCTTTGCCATTCACCAATCAGTAGACAGTTGAGTTGTTTCCATTACAAATACTGCTACTTTTTTTTTTAAGAGGTTTTTTGCCTTTGGGCCTGAAAGGTTGCAAGAGAGACAGACAGCGAGAAAGTGAGAAATCACCCTCTTTGGGGAGATGGCCATGCCACAATCCTTTCTGCTCCAGTCTCCTTCCAGGATTTTGGGCGCGTGTGTGTGTGTGTGTGTGTGTGTGTGTGTGTGTGTGCATGCACCCACACACACGCGCACAGCATAAGTTTGAAGCCACTGGGCTTGGGACTCGAACTACAGTTGACCGCATGGGAATCTAATGACATAACTGCAACAATATCCAGGAGTGAAGTGGAATTGTTGTCAGTAGATCATATGGTAGATTTATGTTTCACGTGTGTGTGTGTGCGTGTGCGCACGGGCACTAGAGGTCATGTGTGCTCACCAGAGAGAAGGAGGAGAAAGAACTCCCTCCTACCCAAGGGGGCTGGTCAGGCCACAGTTCCTTCTCTTCCTTTTCTCTATCTTGTTGAGATTTCGAATATGCATGCACATGTGCTGGGTCTGGGATCTGAACTGCGTGGTTGACTGTGTGGGAGCTGACTGCCTCAACCTTAGTATAGGGGACCGGCCCTATGTTTAACTTCTTAAGAAACTGCCAAACTATTTTCCAAAGTGTCTTTACCATTTTACATCCTACCAACAGTTTATAAGCATTCTTTTTCTCCACATTGTTGAGACCGTTTGTCATATCTTTCTGTATTATTTTAGAGCAAATCAAAGGGTTCCTATCATTTCATCTGTAAATATTTTGGTGTGTACCTATAAATAAAGGTGCTTTTTAAAAGCATAGCTATGATCAGGTTCAATATTTCATTGTTTATAAATGAGTTTAAAAAGCTTTTGAGACCCAACCATGGCGGAGTGTGCTGGCTGACACCACTGCTCAGCAGGCTGAGGTCACGTGGGAAGTCTGGATCTGGCTCCTGCCCGACCCACTCTAGAAGGCAGGCATGGTGGGTCACGCCTGTAGTCTCAGCTACACAGGATTAGGATTATGGCATCAGAAAATCCTGCCTTTAAAAAAAAATCAGCATCTCAGTGGCATCTTCACATTGTGATTGCTCAATGTGTTTTTTAAGTGTCTTTTTTTTTTTTTTAAAGAGAGATTTTTTTCTATAGGGCACGTGCACTTGCCAGAGAGACAGAAGGTCAGAAAGCTTAGTGGGTGGCTCTCCTCCTGTCTGACTGAACTAGCTCACCTGCAGGGCTTCCCTGTGTGACGCTGTTTCTAATGGCATCTGGGGCCACACTGCAGAGAGGAGGGCTGTGCTGCAATCCCTTATCCTCCAGTCTCCTCTCGGGATCTTGGGCACGCATACACATGTACCCAGCGTGTTTTTCTTTCTTTTTTTTTTTGGAGAGGGTTTTTTGCTATAGGGCGCGTGTGCTCACCAGACAGACAGAGAGAGACATAGAGACAGAAAGCGAGAAATCCCCCCCCCAGGGGGGATGGCCACGCCGCAATCCCTTCTCCTCCATTCTTC